TACTTTTGAAGCTGTGACTTGAAATCCCCAACCTCTAGAACTGTGAGAAAGTTAGTTTCTGTTGTTTATGCCACCCAGACTATGGTATTTCACTATGGTAGCTTAGGTTGACCAAGACATCCACACACTGGTAATAAAAAAAGAGAAAGGGGAAAATCATTATTGCCATTGGAGGTGACTACTATATCAAATCTTTACTCTGATAATAATTTTCATTCCAGTTGACAATGGAAATCTCTTCTTTCTAGGAGAATATTAGCTAAGCAAATGTAAAGTTGGCAATTAGGAAAATCAACTTTCTGCAACCCCCAATGTAATAACTGATGCAGGCAAGGATCAAATGACCTAGCATCGCTAACAGTGAGACAACCTGGTATTATTGCACATCTACTAATGACTGAATATGAAATTTATACTACAGTAGGAGTCTTCTTGCCAAAAATGTTTAACCTGAATCTAGTCAAACCTTTACATATAAATTCCCAGTTTACAAGAAATATAAAAAGCACCACCATAAAGAAATCTCCATGGGGCGCCTGGGTGGCTCAGTCGTTAGGCGTCTGCCTTCGGCTCGGGTCAGGATCCCAGGATTCTGGGATCCAGCCCTGCATCGGGCTCCCTGCTCAGCGGGAAACCTGCTTCTCCCTCTCCCACTCTCCCTGCTTGTGCTCTTTCCCTCGCTGTGTCTCTCTCTGTCAAATAAATAAATAAAATATTTAAAAAGAAATCTCCAGGATTTTCAGTGTCAAAAAACAAAAGGGTGTGTGTGAGAGAACCACTGTAAATTTTAAAACACTAAAAATTACATTCATATGCAATTTGTAAACCCTAAGTAGATCCTGCTCCTCCTTCCCAAAAAAGGCTATAAAACCTGAGGAAGTATGAATATTAGATACCAAGGAATTAACATTTTCTTTGGCAGGACAATGATATTATGGTTACGTAAAAGAATGTTATTTTTAGGAGATGCAAGCTCAAGATTTTAGTAGTGAATTACCTTCCTATCAGTAACACTAACAATTGTTGAATCCAGATAGTGGGAATGTAAGTATACTTCAACTTTCCATTTGAAAATTTTCTTAATTAAGGGGCACCCAGGTGGCTCAGTCAGTTAAGCGTCTGCTTTCAGCTCAGGTCATGATCCCAGGGTCCTGGAATCAAGCCCCGCATCGGGCTCCCTGCTCAGCAGGGAGTCTGCTTCTCCCTCTCCCTGTGGCATTCCCGCCCCCCCACCCAGCTCGTCCTCTCTCTCTCAAATAGATAGGATTTGAAATCTTAAAAAAAAATTTTTTTCTTAATAAAAAGTTAAAAAAATTAAAAAATAAAACTGGACAATTGATTTTTCTATTTGACTTTAAAAAAAGATTGTATTAATGGAGAGAATATGATGAAATTGGCTGCCTCATACAATGCCAGTGCTAGAGTAATTTACAACAAACTTTCTGGGAAGCACTTTGGTCATCAGCATATGAAAAGTTCAGACACGAAGACCAGTAACTTTTTTCCAAGATATCTATCTTAGGGAAATAAATTCATATAAAAATTATATAAAGATATTCTATTCAATACACACAAACACACAGTGGAAAAAACAGAAACAACTTTTTTATTTTTTTTATTTGACAGAGACACAGCGAGAGAGGGAACACAGGCAGGGGGAGTGGGAGAAGCAGGCTTTTCGCGGAGCAGGGAGCCCGATGTGGGGCTCAATCCCAGGACCCTGGGATCATGACCTGAGCTGAAGGCAGACGCTTAACGACTGAGCCCACCCAGGTGCCCCCAGAAACAACTTTTAAATGTTCAACTAAAGAACGGTTTAGGGTGGCTTGGCCGGCTCAGTCGGAAGAACATGAGAATCCTGATCTCGGGATCATTGAGTTCAAGCCCCATGTTGGGTGTAGAGATTACTTAAATAAATAAAACTTAAAAAAAAAAAAAGAAGAATGGTTTAGTCAGGTAATACTAAATATTAGATATATAAATTAAATACTGTTAATATTTAATGCTATTTAATATTTAAACAAACTTTTTAAAAAGATTTTAAGTAATCTTAGTAGCTCAGTCATAAAGCACCTGTCTTCGGCTCAGGTCATGATCCCAGGGTCTTGGGATCGAGCCCCACATCAGGCTCCCTGCTCCACGGGAAGCCTGCTTCTCCCTCTCCCACTCCCCCTGCTTGTGTTCCCTCTCTCGCTGTCTGTCAAATAAATAAAATCTTCAAAAAAAAGGTGGGGGGGCGCCTGAGGGGCTCAGTTGGTTAAGCGGCTGCCTTCGGCTCGGGTCACAATCCCAGGGTCCTAGGATCGAGTCCCGCATCGGGCTCCCTGCTCAGTGGAAAGCCTGCTTCTCCCTCTCCCTCTGCTATTCCCCCTGCTTGTAGTCTGTCAAATAAATAAAGTAAAATCTTAAAAAAAAAAAAAAAAAAAGATTTTAAGTAATCTCTACACCCAACGTGGGGCTTGAACTCATAACCCCGAGATCAAGAGTCGCCCACTCCACCAACTGAGCCAGCCAGGCACCCCTAAACAGTAAACATTTTTAAAGAATATTTAATGCCACATAGAAAACATAAGATATATCGGGGCCTGAGTGGTTCAGTCAAACATTTCTCCCTCTCTCTCTTTTTTAAGATTCTATTTATTTACTTATTTGAGAGAAAGAAAGAGAGCGCACACAAGTAGTAGAGCGGCAGGCAGAGGGAGAGGGAGAAAGCAGGCTCCCTGCTGAGCAGAGAGCCCAATGCGAGGCTCAATCCCAGGACGTCGGGATCATGACCCTAGCCGAAGGCAGACACTTAAGTGACTGAGCCACCCAGGCGCCCCAAACGTCCAACTCTTGATCTCAACTCAGGTCTTGATCTCATGGTGGTGAGTTCAAGCCCCCATTGGGCATGGAGCCTACTTAGGAAGGAAGGAAGGAAATATAAAATATATTATGAGAAAAAAACACAAAACAGTATACTACATACTAAGACCTTGATTTGGTTTAAAAAAAAAAAAAGATGTTACTAGCAACAGCAATCTGTGGCTGATGAGAGACTGTGGCTTATACCTGTCACCTTTGCACATTTCTAAATTCTCAAAAAAGAGTAAGGAGACAAAGACTGTAATTCTAATAAATATTTAAAGACTGTAAGTTCTTATCCCCATGGTCATACACGTAATTTTGTCATCACCAGAAACTGTACTTTCTCTGAAATCCATTTCAAGTTTCTCAGATTCCCAACCTCCTTAGATCAAGCTCACTAGTACTCCAAACCCAGCTATTAGCTGGCTTAATCGAACATCACCACTATCCATCATTACCAATCACTCCTTGCTAACCCTGGTGCTTTTGTTCCTTCATGGTACTCATACGGCAAAGCCCCACTGCTAGTTAAACTCATTCCCCAATTAACTTAAAACCAAACAAAACCAAACCACCTTCCTGTGTCTGCCCCAAGCAGCACTGCTGGGGAAAAACACACACACAACCATCATTAACTGGTCTCATGTTCAAGTGAATACCACAAACCCCAAATGAAAACTTAACATTGCCCTAAGTGTCTCTGCTCCTATTAAAGATTAATCCTTCCATTTATCTAGTAATACCCCCACCCCCCATTCTTCTCAAGGACTTTGCAGGTTCAATTACTCCTCCTTTCTCTAGCATAATCAATTTCTCCCATCCATCAACATATAAACATAATCAGTAGAATATGAGAAAATTTTTAAGGGGCACCTGGGGGGCTCAGTTGGTTAAGTGTCTGAGTCCTGATTTTGGCTCAAGTCATGATCTCAGAGTTGTGAGATCAAGCCCTGAGTCGGGCTCTGAGCTCAGCACAGAGTCTGCCTGTCCCTCTCCTGACCACGCTTGTGTGCACACACTCTCTCTCTCTCTCTAAAATAAATAAATAGAACCTTAAAAAAATTTTTTTTAAGATTTCTGAGGCCATATTCTTCTGCAGCTCCCCCTTTCTTCTCTGCTCTTCTGTCAAAGCAAAACTTGAAAAAGTTGACCATAGCTGCCAGTTCCTCACCTCACTTCCTCTTACTCTGTCCAACCATATATCCATCTTCACCATTCCAACGAAAATATTCTAGTCAAGGTTACCAATGATAATGCGCTGCAAATTCAGTGGTCATTTCTCTCACTCAGCAGCATGACAAAGTTGACCACTCTTGGAACTCTTGTTTTCTCATGGTTTCAAAGACACCACAGGGGCGCCTGGGAGGCTCAGTCATTAAGCGTCTGCCTTCAGCTCAGGTCATGATCCCAGGGCCCTGGGATCGAGTCCCTCATCGGGCTCCCTGCTC